TCCTATAAACTGCTGGAGAAAACCTCTCAGTATAAAGTATAGACGCTCAGTATCCAACATTTTATTTAAACGTGAAATATGGTTGGAACATAACATGTTCCAAGCCTTGAGAGTTGAGGACAAACAAATACAGTATGTGTGAATTATTTTGCCTCCACAGAAACCAGTTGAAATTGTTCAAACTTGCGGAAATATACTGTACATGAAGATTTTGATCGACCATCAGAAAAGGAGACACAGTCTTTAAAAAGCACTTCAGTATGGCATTTTAAACAAAAATTTCGAGTCGATCGAAATCCTAGCCGCTCACATTTAACTAATTATCTCAATACCGCAGTTCAATGAATGAGAATAATAACTATGAACGTAATAAAACGCAACCGCACAATTTTCTTGATTAGAATGATACTACAGTTGCTTTGCATCTCGCTGAATGAGTTATTTGACGTACAGCTAGGACAGCTCATAAAAAATATGCCTGCTTCCAACAAGAGCAGGGTTTAAAATTTGAAAATACGGAAGTTTCGTAAATAATGGCTGGAAAATGTACGTTTCTATATTTGCATGTCTCATCAGTTTCTTGACATTTTACAGTACCTTTTATGGGGCCCATTATGATCAGTAGACGTTTGTGTTGCGTTCGTATATGAAAAAATTCTAGAACCTTAGATTTGGATGAGCTAAATGGTAGTTTTTTTTTTTTAAAGTGGTACCTAGTCTATAGAAATGCCCAAGGTCAATCAGAAATGGAACAACCCTCGTATATCCGTGAATCACTTTATGCATTCCAATAAGAGGTAACCGAAGTAACGCAACATTTTCCGCTTGTCATTCAATCGACAGTACTTGAGACATTGTATATTCTCTCTTCGAAATTCGCGAGACGAATCGCTTCGATTCTGATATCGTTGATCAGCATCTTTGTATAGATTCCAATTTTGTTATCTTATTTATTTTCACGGAGTTCAGACGATTCGTTGACCTATCATCGCGGGGCAATTTCCATCGAGTATATATGGTCGACACGGCCCTTGATGAATTAAGCATTATTGTGGTCGGAACTATCTGAGCTTTAAAGATGATGACTACTACAATTTAGAATATATAAATGGAGAAAAAGATGGGTGAGTATTCGAAGTTTTTGCGCAACACTGGCTGCGTCGCATCACTCTCCTTCATCTCATCAACTCAAGCGTGGGATTTGATCATTTCTTCCCAAGAATAAATCTTCCTTATCAAGGGCAACATGTCAATTCAGCGTCATCAAAAAGATATGCATCGAGGCCATGCAGAGAGATGGAAACATTTTTTGCTCCGAAAAAGTGCCGTGATTATGCACGTGTTCAATGATGACCTTTTGCTATTTTTGATACGTAGTTTCCGAAGGATTCTCGTCGATTAAAGGGGGTACATGAAAGATTGAAAATAAGTGATCAAGCCTTTTTTTTTAAAGTGGTGATTGGGACACAGTCGAATCCCAAGATCGAAGTCTTGAGAATTTTACACAGCTCAGAATTTTTCGATTCCGTCAAAAGCGAAGGCGGGGGAAAAAAGAAAGCTAAAACTTTCGCGATATGGACACTCAACTTGATGGAGCATTTCGTCGCACTATAGTATAGACCCTGAGGGTTAGTTTCACCAGTCGTTATTGACAATCATGGCGAAATATGATCACTGTTGATGGGAGAAAGGGACATTTGAAACTACGAATCACGTAAGAAACCGATGCGACGAGCAAATGACTGCAATACAAATGCAGTAATATGCGACGAACGTGGCGATCAAGCCCTTCTTCTTCTGATTATAGGTCAATAGCAATTCAAAGTCGATCGTGACCACTCACATTTTATAGTCTAGCACTCTAGTGAATTCTTTCTGCCAGGAAATAAGTCAGGAACATTTTGTAAAATCAAATAAATACATTAAACACCGATCCTGGAATTGCATGCCGTGACTTTCCGCTTTGAAATACAAGTAATTTACTAGTCATTCAATTTTTCAGCTGAAAGAAATATAATTCAACAAGGAGGTTCTAATAAAATCATAGACGTACTCAATCGTACTGCACAATATTACTTTCACGCAGAAGACCCTTATTTACGTAATATTTTTACAATGAACACAGCAAAAGCTTGGACTTCATCAGTCTTTCAGTACTTGAATTTTGCTGTATTGGGGGACAGATGTCACCGCAATATAGGTTGATGTTGAGAGTTGAGTATTGCAATAAAACACCACAATCAGTCCAGGAAAGGACCAGGAATTCCTTTTAGGAAATCCTAAAATATTCCTATTCCTTTTGGGAATTCCTAGTTCAACAGGATAAACGTATTTCACAAGATAAATTGATAAACCACTCAGCAAACTCTTCTTGCAGCTAGGATAAGTTTGATAATGAATAACTCTAAATCAACTACTGATGATAATCTGATCTAGATGGTCAGCTTATACTGCATACACTCAGAATATATTTAACCTTCATTAGTTTCTACACCTTTAATAGGTCAGGAATTCTATAGTTGAGGATGCAATTATGATGAGGGGGAGTGATTTCTATTTCTAGGAATTTATATTGTATTAATTATTAATGCGCGGTGTGCTTGCCTAACATGCTGTATGTTGCTTGGATAGCTGAGAATTAAAAATACGGTAATCCTTTCACATGGAAACATATTTTCGCGCTGATGCACTTGATAAAATTCCAGACATCGTTGAACAATTTACCCATTTTACATGACTCATGAGTCATCCAGTAAATTGGCAATTCTCAAAAAAATATATACAGTAATTTCAGCGGAATAATTATAGTATTTCAACTGATCGTTTTGAAGAAGAAAACGATGTTCAACGTTTGAATGAGTGACATACTGTACTGTACAGCATTTACTGTAGAATACGGACGGAACTTTCATAATGACGGAATTTCCAAGAAGAACTCGGAGAACTGGAAGTTCGAGGAAAACAATTCCAGTATTCGGGACATACCCAGCAATCGACTTCACGAGAAAAAAGTTGCAAAACCATTCCCTCAATGTCACAAGAAATTGAAATAAATGCAGCGACCCAGTGGACCATAACGGTGACCTTGCTTCTCCAGCTCGAACCCGGCCGTTCATCATCACTCTTCCTCGAGGGAAAAAAAAATTTACGGTTCGCAATAATTTCGAAAAAAAAGGAAGAAATTTAGGCAGAAGAAGATTATTACTGTACTTATATGTTTTTTTTCTTTCTAGCCCCCATCGCGACGTAATTTCGTTCCGGAGCTTCACCCCTACAATTACCCACTACGTGGTGGCATGATGACCGAATTCTTTCCTTCATGTTCGCCGCATTAATGACTGGCAAAATTTCTTTATCAGAATTATATTCTCGTCGAAGCTCTCCATCGTAAAAAAGACAGAAATTTGCAAAGTCTTGTTTTACCAGTACATAATAGCGAATTAATTCATGGGATTTTCATGTGAAACCCTGTTCATCCGGGACTCGTCGACTTTCCTGAACCCAAAATGCGTTCAGATTAATTCAGGGCACCATCAAGAACATCTAAAAGTTCGTGACCGATGGTGAAACCTCGGGAAGAAAAGTGTATTTTCCAGAAGTGAAGTTCCGAAATATTCGCGAAATAGTTCTTGATCGCCGAAAGTTCCGTCGACATCTTACAGTAACGTAAACGTGACTTTCGTTGAATTTCAGAAAAATTTAAATCGCAGGAATCACGAAAATGATCGTCCAGGAAATCTGCTGTGAAAAAAATCAGGTGACTGTGTTTTGTCGAGGTTGAAGTGCAGTAAATTGTCAAAAATCCAGTCGATGTCATTATTTCATCCGTGGTCGTACAGTAATTTTTCCCGAAGTATCGTGCGTGTGATGCCACAAAAATTGCACAGCAAAATCATGCACATTCCATAGGCAGTATCCCACTTTTTGCTCTTGATGACTGAACAACACGAAACTCTCAACATCCGAATCCATTTATCAAAATATAAAATATCGTTGCGGTCGTGATTTTCAGTCTTATATAGAGCAACAAGAATCGATATGTTATCAATCAAATCTGCAGAAACGATCATCATCCATTTGTTCGACGAGAAAGTGACTTTTCAAAACATATTTCAGAATATTTCATCTCAAAATGCCCTTTTCAAAATCTTTACAACATGAATAAATTTCAACCCTTTACTCTAGAATGAAGTCTACCAAAACTTCTCCAAATAAAGAAAGAAATTCCGTAAGTTTTGAAACTCTGGTAGGAACCGTGAAAACTCGCCTGAATTTCATTGTACTTCGATACAGTATCATACAGTATTTCCAAAATTTCAACTATTTTTTCAAGTCATTTATGCAAAAAAAATTGTCTTTTTGGGTATGTTTTTTTTTTAAACGATGTACCGAAAATTTTATGAATAAAAATTTTACCTTCTTGGTTCAACGCAGTGAATGAAGATAAACTTTGCATGGAAAAACTCGAGTTTTCGGTTAAAAATCATTTTCATGAGAGCTGGTGATTAGGAAAATAGTTTTTACGAAATCAGTGCAAGATCATAAAAAATTAGAAAAATGAAATCAGCAACAGCATGGGTTTTTCCTGCTGATTTTTAAAGCAGTGCTTGATAATTTAGCGGAGTACAGATACTTGGGTTTAATGTCAATAACTGGGCTGAATTTCGAAGAAACGCCGTTATAATTCTAATTTGATCTTCTTTGTGTCAATTCACTGTTGGTACTGTATAACGTTAAAATACTTGGTCATAATAACATTTCAAAGAAGACTCAGTTATTTTTTTCTCGTCCGCCATTTTGATTCCGAACCGTGAGAAAAAGTGTCTGTGTCAAAAATTCCATGTTGCAGAGTTTGAGAAGAGCATCTCCATTCAAATTGCCAAAATATTAACTGAGAACAACTTACGTAAAAAAAAACAATTTCTCGAGAGTTTTTTTTTTCGCAAAAGAGCAAAAAAAAATGAAAGAAGGAAAAAAGAGCAGGGTTCCGGAAAACTAACCTGTGGTGCGACTCCGAGCATTCGCAAAGACGGCGGAACCCGGAGCCCGTCGGGGATCAAGACGTGACCGAAGTTGACCGAATATTCGTCGCACCAAACGGACAAGTAGTCGATGTCATAGACGGTCAGGTCACCGGGCAGGGTCAACACTATGGTCTTGTCTCTGTATGCACCCAAGGGCGCGATGCTGCCGTTTTC